CAATTATTATAGAGCTTCCCTCTTTATCGTTTAATTTACAAAAACGGCTTGCTTCTAAATATAGTGGGTAGAAAAATATGTCATCAGGAGACTTGATTATCTGAGTATATTATAAATATATCTACATAAAAGATGCAATAGAGGATTTATGCTTGAGAATGAAATATAGGAAATAAAATCACAATTATAAAGTTTGACTTGCTTCATAAAGTGTAATTCTTGTAAATGTTTACATATGTATGTTTGTATCAAGCATTTTAATGCTGACACATATGCATGGCCTTTTGAATCAGGAAAATGCATTGAGCTGATAGGTATATTGCTTCGTAGCTTGAAATATATGTGTGAAGAAAATTTACCAGTTTTGGAATTGGAATTAAAAGGAAATATTTGATATTTTAACTATTACTCTCACTAGGCATGCATATATCTATACTATATATCTAGCTGTTTCAATGATCTTTGTGCAGTTGTGCAAAGGAGTTTCAGTTCAACATGTCAATTTAGGAATACAATGCATCTTGATCACTGTCACCCCTTCCATCATTCCTCCCACCTATCTCAAACCCACCCATTCCCTCAAGTTACCTCGTTCCATTTGTGAATGCACATACGTGAACATGTGCATTTAATATTAGGACTGTATATGCCCACTATTTGTCTCTCTAGTTGTCCCCCTCTTGTTCATCTTCCAATCCTCCCCAGACAAAACATGCTACAATTTTAAAAATATATTTGCTTAAGCTTTATACAAATGACATTACAATGGCATACATCTTCCCCCCTCCCCCCGCCAGTCCTGGGGCTTGAACTCAGGGCCTGGGCACTGTCCCTGAGCTTCTTTTGCTCAAGGCTAGCATTCTACCACTTGAGCCACAGCGCCACTTCTGGATTTTTCTATTTATGTGGTACTGAGGAATTGAACCCAAGGCTTCATGGAAGCTAGGCAAGCACTCTACCACTAAGCCACATTCCCAGCCCTTGCTTTGTTTTTATTGAGACATGGCCTCAGCTGGTCTAGAACTTGCTGTGTGGGCTAGGCTGGTTTTCAACTTGCAATCTTCCTATCTCAGCCTCTCAAGTGCTGGTTCAGCCTCTCAAGTGCTGGTATTACAGGTGTGACCCAAAGCCTGTCATGTATATATCTTTTGGCATATGAACAATTTATTTCTTGTAAACAACCTGCAATATTACATTTAATATACATAACAGTTCATTTCTTCTCTCTTATGGTTTTATTTTTATTTTATTTATTTATTTATTTATGTTTGGGTCTGGTCGTGGGGCCTGAACTCTGGGCCTGTACGCTGTCCCTCAGCTCTTCAGCTCAAGGCTAGTGCTCTACCACTTGAGCCACAGCGCCACTTCCAGCTTTTTTCTTTTTGCTTATATGGTGCTGAGGAATTGAACCCAGGGCCTCATGCATGCAAGGCAAGCGCTCTACCACTGAGCCACCTTCCAAGCCCTTTTGTTTTATTTTTTGGTGGTTCTTGCTGAGGATCAAACCCAAGGCCTTGTGCATGCTAGGCATGACCTCTACAACTAAGCTACACCAGTCTTTGTTTCTAATTTGTCAGTGCTAGAATTAATTCTTTAGTGAATGTTATACTTAGGAAACAAAATCGAGTAGTATGCAAATATTCAGCTTTACTGAATAGTGCTAAATTGCTTTCTAAATTTGTGGTACCAAACTATAATGTCACTAGTGTTGTATAAAGGTTATGTTTCATATTTTCCCAATATGCATTTTCCCAATACGTGAGATAAAGTGTAAAATTGAATTTGATTGTAGTTTTCAGTATAATACCTAATTTCTAGCACAGAGGCTGTTATCTATTTCTCCAAACTGTCCACTTATATCTTTTGCCAATTTTTCCACTGTTTTGACTTTTATTGAACATAGATTTTAATGTAATCTGAATAACAGTTCTATTTTTATATATCTACCTTGCATGTATTTTTTCAAGTTTTGAGACTTATCTTTTAATGTCTTTATATGGTAATCTTATAATACAGAAGTTTAAATGGTGATACAATAAATATTATTATGTATCTTTGTACTAGTCCAAAGGCAAATTATTTGAAATTATCATATATACTGTAGACAATGTATATATTTTTTTTCATAAGGATTATTGATGACATTTGCCCCATTTGTTCATGATTGCATCCTTTTACCCATAGTTTATGTTTGGGTCAATTTGAGATATTTTTTAAATTATGCTCTTGTGTTCTTTTATTTCTGCAGGCATAGGAAAGATGTATTTCTATTTTCCTATGGATATTTCCATGCCAACTGGAATGTTCCATGCCTTATGTGATTTTAGTTGGGCCAATCATCGTCTATAGATTGAATCACTGCAACTAGTTCAGTGCCCCAATTGTTCCTAGTTCTCTGCCTCCTGGGGGAATGGTGGGACTGTATTTCTGCTGTCTTTGTATGACTTACCTCATGAGTAGAGGCTTCAAACTGAAGGTCTAGCAAGCAGCCTATGATTGATTAACCATACTTTCCAGTCTTGGTTCAGATTCATGGACACATGGAGATAGAAAATCTGAGAGTAAAGTTCCAGAGCAGAATTCCAGATGACCTTTAATAGACATTCGGCCAAAAAAAAGCAATTCTTTATTGTCTTAAATGGCTGAGATTTTTTGAGTAGTTGCTGTTCCAACATGATAAGAGTTAATATGGGTGTTACTTGATCATTAGTAGAGATAAGTCTTAATAAGTATAGACATTCATATTTATATTATCATGTCCCTTTTCAGTTCTTTTCCTTTCACTTCCTTCTAGGTGCATTACTATTAGTGTAATTCTCTAGCACTCATCAATTGTCAAGAAGATTTGAATTTTTTAAAATTTTATTTAAATCAAACTTAAAAAAATACAGGGCCTTGATGGTATCCAATACATGCCTCGGTGTCACATGGAGTTATAAATAAATATGTGGAAGCAGACATCACAATAAATTTCAAGCTAATTTTCAAGAGTAAAAATTGGACACACATTTTATAGCAATTTTACTTTTCCATTTGCTTATTCAGGCCTCAAATGTATAAGGCAGGATGTCTACATTGAGCTACCTTGGCACTATTTACCTTATAATTCTTAGGATAGGTTTTTCTTTGCCTAAGAACAATCTAGGTCACCAAAAATCCTGTGTATGTCCCCAGTGTAGCTTACTAGATAGGAACTTCCAAGCATCTCTTGCATTAACAATTATGAGCCACATAAAACTTCTGCATATCACTTTTGGCCATGATATAACTATGTCCAGAGTAAATTTTCAGGACATCTTGGAAGGTTTTATGGTATTAAAAATGTTCCATATTAAATGGAAAGACTTGGAAAAAATTATATTAAGTGAAGTGAGCCAGGTCCAAAGAAACATAGGCCCCATGGTTTCCCTTATTTGTAATAACTAGTATATGTCTGAGTCAAGCAGAAAAAGTCAGATAAGTTGATGTTAGGCAAAATCAACCCCAAGATAAGTGTTCAAATGTTTTTTTTCCATGTGATTGTTTCTAAAATATAAGATAATTTCTTTGTTGCTTTGTATGTCCCTCCCCCACAATATAACCCCTGCTTTCACTGTATTTGATGTTGGTATAATTTGTGGAGGGGAAGGGAAAAAACAACTTGTTTAAATAGGGATACAGGTGGACCCATTGCAACAACGAGATATACAAGTTGTTATGTTGAAAAACGAACTTTACAACTTTGGCCATGTGGTGGGAGATGAGGGAGCAGGTGGTGGGGTGGGGTGGGGAAGATGGGAAGGGATAGGAAGGGGAAACAAAGGAGGAGGCAACAATGCTTGATAAGAAATGTACTCAATATCTTGCCCATGTAATTGTAACTCCTCTGTATGGTATTTTCACAATAAAAAAAGTTCCATATTATTTATCTGGACTTATGATTGACTATAAATTCTTTTGTATTGACAAAGAAAGTCAAATGGCTGAAGGATTTCACTCATTGCTTTACTACAGTTATTCTCTAGTGTTATGACATGAAAGTTGTCAAAGGACAATGGGTTGTGTAAATATTTGATGGCTAGCATTTCTTCTCCTCTCCTAATATTTCCTTCCACAAGCCTATATTTCCTCCTTTGGGGTGTTACCACTTGTAAAGAAGACACCTGAAAAAAACCTGTGTTTTACCTGAAATCTTTAAAAGTAACGATCGTCTGTATGGCACCATAGCAAGGGGGGGCCATTTTTGAAAAAAATGATAGCTCAGCTTCCTGTTATTAGATTAGACTGGTCCCACCAACCTAGTCCACTTTTATACTGGCTCTGATATTAAAGATCTATCATTTTTTTGTTCAGTTGATCACATTCATGAATTTGCCTGTTCAGTATCTGACACATATTTCTGGAAGGATGAAGGTAAAGACAAGATAAAGAGTAAAGCACCAAGAAGATATGTCCTAAGGCAGAAATTAGCCTGCACACAATCTCTCCACTGCTCAGTGTTTCATTTATTTTAATAAATGTCTCTTAAAATGCAGAATCATATATTATAGTTGTCTCGGGAGGAATGGAGGTGGGGAAAGAAGGGAATTACTGTCTGAAGAAGCGGAGTTTCATACTCCCATGTTAACATGAAGCACATGTATACTTTAATTGGCATGTTTGCTCTGAACATGCTAGCTGAGGTGTTGGTAGACAGATTGTGACTGGGGAATTTAGAGTCTGGATTGTGCAGGCTTACATTTCAAGGCCAACAGACCAAATGCAGAAATGAGAAGGAATGTAGAATGGATTTTAGACAATTCCCACTTTGTAATTTATTTTTATGAATTCTGATTTGGGTTACTGACATCCTGATGCTGAAAAATGATCTCAAGTGTCAAAAGCTACCATTTGGATCTATAGTAATTTCACTGAAGAGCATCGAGTATTGCTGAATGTTAGAATACTTTCTTGCCAAGCTTCTTGCTCCTTAAGAAAAGAACATTGATTGATTAATCAAGGTTTATGTATTTTTCTTTTAGGTGGTTCTTTGGAGCAATCAAAAGAACAGATGCAGAAAAGCAACTATTATATTCAGAAAACCGTACAGGTGCCTTCCTAATCAGAGAAAGTGAAAGCCAGACAGGAGATTTCTCCCTCTCAGGTATGGGCATTGTTTTGTGAGATTCCAGTATGGGTTTGAGCGTTTATGGTCTTGATCTCTTAATTTAATCTTTTTCTCTTGAATTTCAACATGCTGTACAAGCAGATTCCAATTTATTCTGTCCATTTAAGTGTTCAGTGCCTCCTATTCAAAATCATCAGTTCTATCATTCTCTCCCAGCCTGCTCCCCACTCCCCAACTCCTGCCTGGCGCAATTCCAAACTTCCTTTATCATATTCTTGCTGTACTTGTTCCCTGTTTCCCTTTTTCATTCATGCACCCTCACTCCCACTACTGTCCCTCCTTTACAATTTATTTCAGCTTCTGGTAGTCATTTTGTTAAACTGTCTGCCAGCTGTTACTCTATGGAGATCCATTCATTTTTGTACTATACATTAGCTAACTGAATGGTGTAAGTAGGCATATGTCTCTATGTGTGATTGTATGGATTTAAGGTTCACATATGGGAGAAAACATACATTTTTTTGTCTTTCTGGGTTTGACTTACTAAGTATAATGTTTTCCAGATCCATCTATTTCTCTGCAAATGATATAATTTCTTTCTTCCTGGTGGTTGCATAAAAATCCCATTGTCTATTTATAGCACATTTAAAAATCCATTCATCTGTGGTGGGGCCTCTGGGCTGTTTCCATAACTTGGCTATTGTGAACTATGCTGTGATGAACAGTTGCCTTTGTTTTGTCCTGATGTGTCATCTTTTGGCTAAATGTGGTGTTTAGTAAGCACTATTTCCATAGTAGTTGCACTCGTTTATATTCCCAACAACAGTATAATAGGTGTCTTTCTTTCTGCAACCTTGCCAGCATTTTTGCTGTTTGTGATCTTGACAGTTGTTATTGGCATGAGATGGAATCTCAATGTCGTTTTGATTTGCATTTCTTTTATGGTCAGGGATGTTGAACATTTCTTCATGTGTTTATTGAACATGGACTTCCGTTCAACAACTTTGCCCACTTATTAATTTGATGATTGATTCTCTGGGGTTTTAGTTTTTGAGCTCCTTGTGTATTCTGTTTATTAGACTTCTGTCAGATGGAGAGCTGGCAAAATCATCTCCTATTCTGTAGGCTTTCCTTGCAGGTTGAAATTATATCTTTTCTGTACAGCAGCTTTGAAGCTTGATGTGGCCAGTTTGTCAGTTCTCCCTCTTATCTTTTGCACCCCTGAAATTCTATTCTGCATATATGCATGAGTTCTAGTATTTTCCCTACATTTACTGTCTTGGTTTCAAGGTTTCTGCTCCCATTGAGGCTGTGAGCCATTTTGATGTGATGTAAGTACAAAGTCACAGACACGGATCTAGGGATTCTTGTCTTGTCGAGTTCTGTTTTCTTTCCCTCAGTCTGGGGAGCTGATTGTTTTCTCATGGTCTTCTTGCTCTCTCCTCCTATTTCTTTTCTTTCTGTATTAATTACTTAAGTAATTAGCTTTTATTCATTGTTTTTGGTGGCACTGGGGTTTGAATACAGGATTTTGTGCTTGCTAACCTGGTAGTTTATTGCTTAAGCCACACCTCCAGCCTGCCCTGTTCTTTTCTGGTTCTTTTTGAGCTTGGTATCCCTTCCAACCTGGGTGCAAGTCTAAGCCACAATTCACCTACTTGGGGCTTTCCTCATTTCTGAAATTACAGCACCACCCCACATCCAGCTCTCCTTCATGAGGATAGAATGTCATAAACTTATTTATTTATTTATTTTTTGCCAGTCGTGGGGCCTGAACTCTGGGCCTGGGTGCTGTCCCTCAGCTTTTCAGCTCAAGGCTAGCACTCTACCACTTGAGCCACAGTGCCACTCCTGGATTTTTCTGCTTATGTGGTGCTGAGGAACTGAACTCAGGGCCTCATGCATACAAGGCAAGCACTCTACCACTGAGCCCCTTCCCAGGCCTGTCATTAACTTTTCAGTCCAGGCTGAACTAGAATTGTGAACCTCCCAATCTCAGTCTCTTATGTAGCTTGGGATGACAGATACTTACCCCTGTACTCAGCTGTGGGTTGAAAAGGGATCTTGGTAACTTTCTGTGCATAGACACAAACTTTTAATTCCCAGATCTCCACTTCTCAAGTAGCTAGGATTATAAGCATGATTATCAGCACAGGTATAGCCTTGCTAAAATCTGTGTTTTTAGTTCTATTGCAATTCTGTAGTGTATTTTTAAAAATTAAATTCTCTAGGTGTGAAATGTTCTCTCTTTATACTGTGTAGGCCTGCCACTTACATGGTCACCCTCTTCAAGCAAGTATTCTGCTTCTCTAGCAGATATAAGCCTTGTAGGAGAAGAGGTTTTACTTTCCTTCATTCCTGTTGCTTTGCAGTAAATGCTTATCTTGCATTATTTTGTGTACCTCATGCTCTCTGCCTGGCACGTCATGGTGGTGTTGCCTTTCCCGACTCAAATTGGATCCTCACAATAGTGCACATCTGTACCAAGCCAGGTGATGTTATAATGACTTCTAGTCATGAATAAAATAAAATGTCAGATAAACAGAACAGCTCAGAGAAGAATACTCTAGAGTATCATTTCTGAGGAAATTTTAAATATTAAAATATCTTTCTCATGCACTTAAAAAATATATATCTCATGCACTTGACCTCTATTTATTTACACACACACACACACACACACACACACACACACACATGCATTCTCACTCTCATACACCTGAAAAGAAATTGAGGACATTTTGTAGATCATGAACTATATACATCTGTCTAGACTGTGTTTAGAATATAAACGTGTGAGTTTCTACATTAACACACATGCATGTAATTGTGTATTTGTGATATGATCCAGCATTCATAATTTTAATTTCTGTTTTGTATTATCCTGTAAATATTTTTTCATGCTCTTTGGTATTTCTATATTTTGCTGTGAGAGACTACATAGTTTCCCATTGCATGCCTGTACCATCATTTTATTTGACCTATTTCATCTTTAATACTTAAAACAGTTTTGAGTTATTTTGCTGTTATAAAATATGTATGATACAGTGAACATCCTTGTAGATATATATTTGAATATTTCCATGAAAATGTTGTTTTCAGAGGAAGATATTGAATCTTTTTGAATTCTCTGTGCTTAATAAGAAGAGCTATAAGAGAATTTCTTGTCTAACTGCATTCCTGTTTGTTTGTATGCCTTTCCCAATATTCATATATCAAATTTGGTGGTAGTTATTTAGCCAAAAGCTGGATTAAATGTTTCAGAGAAGCATTAAAATATGGAAGAATAATATTCCCTCCAGGAAAACAAACTAAATGTAGAATTACCTGACTCATGTTTGAATAATGCTCAGGCTACAGTGACTGCTCAGAACCCTGTCTAGGAAGAATATGCTGGAACAAAACAGCTTTGCAGGCTTAGAAGAAAATTAGGAGGATATTGGCTGCAATGTGTGGAGAATACTCTAGAGCTTGCTTATGGATTTAGGAAGCTTTGTAGGCCTTGCTTAGAGACCAGCATATCATTATAGATTCTTTTTCAGTGAAGTCAAACAATTTAGTCTTTCAAACAAATTATCTGATTGCTGTGTATTCACTGGAGGATAAAGTAAATACATCCTATTATGTCCTAGTGAAAGGGAAATTCTCTTATTAGCCAGAGGGAAGGATTTAGGGGGAAAAGATGGGAAGAAAAAGGTCTTCAATTTCTCTACATTAAACAAACAAACAAACCAATTGCTGACTGTTGATTATCACTAAGGATCTTCAGATGTCTCACTCATAGATCTATTTCTCAGTGCAGTTGTCTCCTTAATCAGTCAGAATTGATGGCCTTCAATTTTGCTGACTGCTCTGTTGCTAAAGGAAAGCAAATAATATCCCTTTTCAATCTCTGTCTTTCCCACATGAATTTTCTTTAGAAATATTGTCTTTATTCGTTGGGCAGCAATGGCTTGCAGCTGTCAGAGAAGAGCTTCATGAGAAAGCATGATTTATTGATGGTGGGGTAGCTCCCGGACACAGCAGCCCAAGGGTGGGGTAGGTACTAATTGGGTTGTTGTGATCCTTGAATGCCTGTAGGCTTTTGTGAGGTCTGAACAGATCAGAAAAGAGAGTTGGGGCCATGACACCTCTCCTAACCACAAGACACTAATTAGCTGTGAATTACAGCAGCCGCTTTTGGATATTACATATTATATGTGGTAGCCAGAGAATCTGTCTTCATTAAATGCCTGACAGGCAGTTTTAGTGGCCTTACTATTATTTGTCATTGGGAGTGAATTGCTTTTTTTATGAAAAAATAAAATAAAATTCTGACTGTATTTCAACAGATTTGGCTATTTTCTGGTATCAATCAATTATGTAAAAGGAAATTATTACTGCTGTTAACCATTAATGGTAATCGGATGTTTGGTGTCCTATGAAGTATTTTTATTCCTGTTTAAGGCACCCTTTAAGGATGTGCAGTAGAGGGTCATCACTGAGCTGGTGAGAGTTTTAGAAAAGATTTTTCCATTGTGTATTGTCATTTTGCTCTAGGCAAGTCTATGTATAAAAATCTATGGAGCAATATAGGGACTTCCAAGTTTTCCCTCAGTGAAATCCTTTCAAGAGCCAATAGTAATAGACTGAAATGGAGATCACAAGTGGAAAAAAAAATCTCCCTGACAAGTGCGTGAGGAGCTGATGTTACTTGCTGATGTTGTTGTTTATGGTTTCAACAAACATTCAGAATACTTACTATGTGCCTACCCTCTGCTAGATAAAGGGTAGTATAGCTCAGCAAGGAACCATCTCTGAATTCAATCTGGAAGATTGTAATACAGTTGTCTTATTGTGAAGAAAGAGTGGCCAGGAGCCAAGTCTTAAAGGGAGTGCCAAAGAAGGCTTCCTGGAGGAAAGGACTTGTGTGTTGTGTCTTTTTTTGTTACAAGGTGGCAATGTGAGAATAGTTGTTTCTGGATAACCCATGTTTACGATGTTAGGAGTACATCTGGTGTGTGTGGAATGGTGGCAAGAGTGGAGGATGTTTCAGG